TAAGAAAAGATTCTGAACCACCTTGCGCTGGTATGTGAGGGCAAAGTAAGTTGTTTAAAGCAAAGAGATACAGGATTATGTAAGAGTACAAGGAATACGAAGAGATACGGTTGTAACTGCTTTTGCTGTTGCTGTTGCTGTTGCGGTTCGATACAGTGACGACTCGGGCAACTGCTCAGTATCGAGTCAGTTGTGTGTCCTTGCTGTCGCGCTATATTTGTCAAGTCAAAGGTCGCTGACCTTTGACCTTCGCGTAACCTCCAGCGGTTATTTCAACCTCCGAGGGTTGACTCGCTAGTGCCTCGATATGTTTTGCTTCGCTTGTGCCTTGGTGTTTCGACACGATAGAAGCGCTTTAGGACCGATTGTTTCCAACAAAAATAACTAGTATGAAGGGAATAAAGTAAGTTCGCTGTTTGTTACGGTAGCTATAGTTGGCTTCAGTTCATCCCTGCAAATGCTCTCAGAAATTGCCATCAACGTAGTTGATCATCTCTTGGCTCTCAGGAAACCAGGTTGCTATCTATAATTTTTTCACTTTTAGGGTGAACGTGTTTTGTTTCCTGACCTTGCACAAATATCATGTGAGGAGCCATGAATCAACGCGTGGTGCTCCTGTCCCTCCTGTGTGCCCTTGCCTCGATGATAGGACCTCTGCAAGTGGCTGCTACTTTTGGTTGAAGATGCGTGTCAACAATATAAGGTCTGGAGGGGCTAAGCCTTGCATGGGCATCTTCTCATCTTGCTTTGCTGGCAAGTATGATGAAAAAATCGTCAGCAATGATTGGAAGAACATCACGGGTACCAAGGATGCTCGGCTTAAGCGTTACAGGTTCACTGCCTTACAGGCCCAAGCACACAGATCAACATTCGGAAAATTGTTCTTACCTATGTACTGCAAACGCTAGGCTTGCATATTGTTGTGTCTCATCCGAATAATGACAATGCGCTCTGCGGGGAGATGAAGCAGCGACCCGTATGGCCTTGACCATTTCAAGTTCATCGGTGAGGCAGCGACATTGTAAGGACATCCTCCAAAAGTTTTGCTTGTGTCATCATGCACCATGGTTTGTACGACCTTGTAAATAGCGTGTCAAAATATGTTATTCATTTTTTATATAATTGTTTGTAGTGTTTTCGTGTAGTTGTCTCATGTTTGGTGGTGGTGCACCTCAGTGCCTTGCTTGTTTTTGTTTCCTAGATCTTGATTTAAAATTGTACATGCGCCAGGGCTGATTTTATCAGACTAAAATGGTCTGATTGTCTGATCTGACAGACTATTTTTCAATGGTTCCTGATTTTCCAGACTTGGTGATTTTCCAATAATGAGCACCTCAGAGTTGTGGTTTTCCAAATACTGAGAATTTCAGAGTATTGCCTATGCCAATAATGATCCCTCAGACTAAGTAGCGTACGGATCCTGGAAACCGGATATGTACGTACTAGGAAGCTTCCGCAACGTCACATGTTGCCGTGCCATCATGACAATCTCCTTGCTGTCACATGCGAAATCTGAACTTGGCAAATTTGCCACCCCTTGACCGACTCGGTGCCCCCTGTGCCACGCTGCACGTGGCAACCGTGATATCTCTGCAACGCTGTGTCAGCGGGAAAGCTGCACCGTGCCATCACTACGCGCTCTGTCCTGCACGGTACAGCACTGCAGAGGTGACGGGCATGGCGGCTCGAGACCAACGGCAACAGCCAGCCACCCATCAATTGGTTTGAGGACCACGGGGTCCTTCTTCTTCATAGCTCCCTTCACCACGCTGACTATGTTTCCTCGGCTGGCTCTCCCAGCAGTGTTCCAGTTAGTGCTCGAGTGACTCCTCCCATGACGGACCAAGAACGCGACCGGCCCGATTCACCTGATGCTGACCACCCTACTACCAAGGAGGGTGTGGGTAGGTCGGGGCTAGACTGCCTACGCCCCGCAGCAACGGCGGTCATACACGATACTGTTCCTGCCACCACGCCTGCCTCCCCTACGCCAACTCCAATAGTCTTAGCGCCCGCCATAGCGTCGTCTAGTAAGGGCCCCATCCCACTCACCGTGCGCACTGCATCTACCGTTCGGTACAGCGTGCCGTCAGTCACCAAATCAGTTGCGCAGAAGCGTAGTACCCAGAAATGGGTTCGGAGCACGATGGTTACTGGCGGTAGATTCCGCAAACCATCTCCACCCCCTTCAGCGCCGGCTGTGGCCACGCCCGACAAGCCACCTCCTCCTAAGTTGTCTAAGAAGGAGGAGATTGAGCAGAAGTGGCTTCTGGCTGAGGCGAATTACCACTCGAAGTGGCTTCCGTTTTTCCCATGGCTTCTGCTTGTGCGTGCCCAGGATGGGCATCCCTCGCTCAAGTGCTGCATCTGCCGTGCCTTTGGCAAGGAGACCACCAAGTATTCAGGCCCTGGCAACGGAGCGCGCGACTTACAAACGCAGACGATGCGGATACACGAGCACTCCAACGTCCACAAAGAGGCAGTGGAGCGGCAGTTGGAGATCGAAGAGTCGCTGGACGGCAAGCAGAAGAAGATCGACGATTTCACAACGAGGGACGTGGAAGGGCGGAGGGTGATTCGCCTTCTGCGTGCCACTGAGTTCATCTGTAAGGTCGATGCTCCAATCTCGATGTTCGCTCGCCTCCTACGTTTCATGTCTGAGCAGGACACGCCGGACATTCCAAGGCAGGCGTACGGCGTGTATCTTACTCGGTGAGTACCGCGTGTGCCTTCGAGTTAATCAAGTACTCACTACTTCAAATACTAACGCATTTATGTGGAGCTGGACGACGACCCTTTCCGCGAGGAGGATGAGGAGGAGGAGGATGTGGAGGAGATAGGCATGGATCAGCCTGAGTGAGACCTAAGATTATTTGTAGCTGTAGGTAGGTAGGTAGGTGATTGCTGTAGGTAGGTGATAGCTGTAGGTAGGAGGAAGGAAGGATGCATCTGATCTGAGACTCAATGGATGATTGCCATGCCAGGACATTTTAACTTAGTTTTATTTAAGTCTGATTTTAGAATTTGAATAATGACCACCTCAGACTTAACCCTGAACCAATCCTGTGAAATCAGACTCAAGGAAGTTGGGGAAAATGTGCTTCAGACTAGACTGGAATTTTTTTTACCTGCTCTCAGAGTAGGTTTTTTTGAAACGTCAGCTCTGACATGCGCTTATAATAAGTACGGTAATGTTTTCACAGGGGGTGCGCTTATAATTGAGGATCGGCCATAAGCGCATGCGCTTATCATAGGCCTGCGCTTCTATCGCGTGATACCGTAGGTTGTGAACTTCTGTATTTCATTTCAGAATGTGTTTGAATCTATATCTCAAAATGCATTGAGTATGTCAGTACATCTACCGTATTACAGTAGCACGAGCACAGCGCTTCATTCAGTTGAGCTTTCAGTGCGATCCTCACATCACATTCTGCAGAGTTCCTGAGAAGCACCCAATCTGAACCTTGACAAGCGGTTGGCAATACTGAAGCGATCCGTGTTGGGTTGGGGAACTTTGAAACACGACTCCCAGACAACAGTCGTCCAACAAACAAGCAGATAGATCACCCCACCCCACCCCAGCTCACAGGAATATGTTAAACTAACAGAATCAGTCACTGGAGGAATCTGGGTGCAGCAGAATAAATAATGATAACAGTATTACGGTAAGTACGGAACTGGTAATACGGTATCGCATGCTTCTGACATCTGTGCTGTATGCACCGCTGCATTCATTCACCTACCATGGCACCTGGTCACAGGCTGATGAATCTACTAGCACCTTGCCCATGGCAGGTGCCATCCTCTCTCACTATCCATCACAGCCTTGCATTGCACCTATCCGGTACAGGTGCCACTCTAGCACAGACTATCAGTCCTGCGTCCAGCCGGCACAGGTGCCCCTGTGTTTGTTGCGGTGCAGTGCGGTGCTGGAACATGAGGCTACTACCAGCACCAGTCACGATAACTGGTGAATCTAGAGGGACGAGATGCACCAAAATGGTGGGTGGGTGGATAAAGCTGTGAGGCGGTGTGAAGGGTGGACGCATCAGTCGGACACCAGGGTAGTGGTACAGTGGTGCTGCAACACCTTCTCCACTGCTGGTGCTGTCAGTAGCGGACAAATCGTCAGCTTAAAAAGGTAGTGGTACAGTGGTACTGCAACACCTTCTCCACTGCTGCTTTGCGGCGCCTTAGGATAGGAGCCCCCGCGTGACGAGAGTCGATTGCTTAGGCGCCTCACAGATTGCATCAGGTGCTCATCAGGCAGGCACCAGGTAGTGCCGCAGCACCTTCTCCAGCGCTGCTTTGCTCACCGGCTTTGACATGTAGTCTGGCGAGAGGACCAGAGGGAGAGAGGGGAGAAGCATGGGGAGAGGGAAGGTGGACACGTATCAGGGAGGGCGGATCGGACAACACATTGAGGAGGTGTGAAGGTTACAAGAGTCAGGCAGGCACCAGGTAGTGCCGCAACACCTTCTCCAGCGCTGCTTTGCTCACTGGCTTGGACATGTAGTCTGATGAGGGGAGAGAGGGGAGCAGGGAGGGAGAGACGGAGAAAATTAAGGCAAGGGGGGAAAGGGGGAAAGGGAAGGAGGAAGCGAGAGAGGGGGATAATGAGCGTTACAGCAAGACGACAGGGAGGTTGGAGAGTGGGTGGAGGAAATGTGGGAGAGCAGTGAGAGGAAGGGAAGGTAGTGCACCAGATAGTTGGTTCTGGCACATGCTCTTGTGGCACATGCTCTTGTGGCACATGCTCTTGTGCTGCATGCTCTTGTGCTGCATGCTCTTGTGCTGCATGCTCTTGTGCTGCATGCTCTTGTGCTGCATGCTCTTGTGCTGCATGCTCTTGTGCCACATGCTTTGCTTGCTCACCTGTCATGCCAGCTGCCAAGCACTGCTCCCGATCGCCTTTCAGCGCATTGGCCGTCTGACAACACACACGTGGGGAGATTTTTAACAGGGCAAGGAGGAGAATGGTAACCAATCAGAAAGGAAGACTACAGCTGGAGACAACAAAACGAATAGGCTTTAGGGAGCTTAGTCAATCGGAGCCAAGTAGCAGTAGAAGCCGGGAGGCGAGCAGAGAAGGCAGGCGAGGAAGCAGAGCGGTGAGAAGAGAAGGCGAGCGAGGAAGCAGCGAGGTGCCCTGCTGGTGTACTGGCGCTTGGGAGAGAACTCACGAGCGCCACAATGGTGACTGGTGGCTGCCCTCTTGCCGCCTCCAGCTCTCGGATCTTGCTGCTGGCCGTCCACCCGTCCATCTCCGGCATCTGTGGGCATGGACAAACACAGATTCGGAATAGGAATGGGCAAGAGATTGGGGAATAAGACCAGAACATGAACGGGGAAGAGGTGGACTAGGGTTGCTGACGTGGCAGTTCATGGGATGAGGTTGCTGACCTGGCAGTTTATGAGGAAAAGGTTGCTGACCTGGCAGTCCATGGAATAAGGTTGCTGACCTGGCAGTCCATGAGGATAAGGTTGTTGATTTGGCATTCCATGAGGATAAAGTTGCTGACCTGGCAGTCCATGAGGATAAGGTTGCTGACCTGGCAGTCCATGAGGATAAGGTTGCTGACCTGGCAGTCCATGAGGATAAGGTTGCTGACCTGGCTGTCCATGAGGATAAGGTTGCTGACCTGGCAGTCTATGAGGATAAGGTTGCTGACCTGGCAGTCCATGAGGATAAGGTGGCTGACCTGGTGGTCCACGAGGAAAAGGTTGCTGACATGGCAGTCCATGAGGATGAGGTTGCTGACCTGGCAGTTCATGAGGATGAGGTTGCTGACCTGGCAGTTCATGAGGATAAGGTTGCTGCAGTCCATGAGGATAAGGTTGCTGACCTGGCAGTCCATGAGGATAAGGTTGTAGTGGTTCTTCTCGGAGAGGTTAACTGCCTCGAGCCCGTTGTTGGCGAGATCCACACTCACTCCCAGCATGGCTAGCATCGACTTGGCCACCTTCTGGTTGATCTGTGGGTTGTGGAAACAGGTGAGGGGATCACAGGATTGCAAGAGGAGGTGAAGAACGGTGGAGTGTGGTTCGTTGCTGGTTCTTCTTGGAGAGGTTAACTGCCTCGAGCCCATTGTTGGCGAGATCCACACTCACTCCCAGCATGGCTAGCATCGACTTGGTCACCTTCTGGTTGATCTGTGGGGAGTGAAGTGAAGTCGGGTGAAGACGGGTGATGGTCTCAGGATTGCAGCAGGTGAAGAATGGCAGGTGGGTTTCGTTGCTGCCGAGCCCCTCCACACACACTCCCAGCATTGCGAGCATGGATGGGGATGTGTGGACTTGGCCACCTTCTGGTTGGTCTGTGGATTGGGATGTGTTGAGTGTGGACCAGATGAAAGAGGGGACATCATGCAACTCCTTGAGTGAGATGATGCAGCGAGGAACAGCCTATGGATGGCGAGATCCACATTCACGCCCAGCATGGCTGGCTGGCATGGACTTGGCCACCTTCTGGTTGATCTGCAGGTTGGGAACACAGATGGGTGGGCCAAACGATCGCAGCAGGTGAAGAGCGGTAGAGTGTGGTTGATTGTTGGTGTGGCCCATGCTCACTCCCAGCATCACCAGCACTGACTTGCCACCTTCTGGTTTGAGCTGTGTGGCCCCTCTGGTCAGACGATGCGTCAAGGGGCCATTTCCTCTGGGAGACGTTTCAGAACGTGACTCAACACGTTGACCACCACCAACTGGCCTTGACCAGCGTTGACTCACCGCATTGTCTTCTGCCAGCAATATCCGGCCGCTAAGCTTCGGTCCGCTGGGGTTGCCCCCTCCTGCTCGTGTGCCCACCCCGCTTGCCCGCCCTCCCCTTGCCGCCCCTCCTGCTCCTCCCTGCTGCAGCAGGCTCTCCCCCCCTGGCGTCGCCCTCAGTGCCGCTTCTAGAGCTTCCATTAAAGACTTGGGGCGGACCTGTGGTGGTAAGGGGTGAGATGGAGGAAGATGGGAATGGGGGTTACAGGGAAGGAGTGGGTGCAGGGACTGCAGCAGACTCTCCCCCCCTGGTGTCGCCCTCAGCGTCGCTTCTGGAGCCTCCATCAGAGCCTTGGGGCGAACCTGTGGGGGGAAGAGGGGAGGGAGGAAGGGGGAGGGGAGAGTGGGGAGGGGGAGAGTGGGGGAGAGCATATATATACCATGCAATCCAAGCTATATAGAATACCTCCATGTCAACCCACCAACCCACCATGCCATGCCGCAGTGTGTGTTTTCTGAGAATTCTAAAAAAACACACATTTTGAGAGTTCTCAATAAACAAGCAATCCAAGTTATGTAGAATCCCTCCATGTACACCCACCATCCCACCCACCATCCCACCATCCACCATGCCATGCCTTCCCACCACCACAGCACACCATACCATACCATCCCAGACCGCGCAACCCCACCCAGCCCCACGCTACCCCACAATACCACACTGTCCCTCCGCAACATACCATGGGCTTGTTGAGCAGGAGAGGCGGCGAGCGGTCGTGCCAGTGCCTGACGGCTCTGAGCTCTGCCTCTGTCTTTTCTGTGACCTGCGTGCGATTCAGCAGCAGCACCACGCCCACCCTGTCCCTGCCCAGACACTCCAGCACCTCCTGTGGGCAATGAGAGGGAGAGGATGACAGTGAAGGGGCATTGGTATGAGTGGGAAGGCTCGAGCCTGTGCTGCACTCAGCTACCGTTCAGCACCACCACCACGCCCACCCTGTCCCTGCCTAAGCACTCCAGCACCTCCTGTGGGGTTGAAACGTTGAAGTGAAAGGGGCCGTCCGGGAAGACAAGGGGGAGTGATGAGGGTTGAGTTGAGTGCTGCAGCCTGTACTGCCCTCAGCTGCTGTTCAGCAGCAGCACCACACGCACCCTGTCCCTGCCCAGACACTCCAGCACCTCCTGTGGGCAATGAGAGGGAGAGGAGGGCAACAGATAACGATACAAAACAAGTGGGGAGGGTTGAGTGCTGCAGCAGCACCACACCCATCCTGTTACTGCCCAGACACTCCGGCACCTCCTGTGAGAGAGGAGAGGGAGAGGAAGGCAACAAACCACGATTCAGAATGAGTCGGGAGGGTTGAGTGCTGGAAGCTCTACTGCCCTCAGCTGCTGCGGTTCCGCAGCAGCAGCACCACGCCCACCCTGTTCCTGCCCAGACACTCCAGCACCTCCTGTTGGGTTGAAAAGCTGGACCATGCATGAGGGGAGAAAGGGGCAGAGAAGTGGAGTATAGGGTGGGATAGGATAAGAGAGTGGGGCATTATCAGCTAAAGTGGAGCGTTGACTCAGGTCAACCATCACAGCATCATAGTCCCCTCCGCCACCCCTCCTGCTTACTGCTATCCCTCCACCACTAGACAAGTTGTTGTGACACTAGCACCAACACCACTACAACTCACTTTTGAGTCGACTCAAAAGTCAACAAGTTGTTGTGACACTAGCACCAAAACCACTACAACTCACAACAAACCTTCAGCCAGGGTGGGGCGTTGACTCAGGTCAACCATCACAGCGACATTATCAGCCCTCGTAACATTCGCGTCAGGGCGTTGACTCACAATCACATTAGCATCAGCCAGAGTGGGGCGTTGACTCAGGTCAACCATCACCGCATCATAGTCCTCCGCCACGCCCTCCCGCTCGCTGCCATCTCTCCACCGCATGGACGGCGCCAGCCGGGCGACGGGGGCGGGCGGCAGAGTGCCAGCTGGCAGGCGCTGCAGAATGGCTTCCTCTGGCGTGGCAATGAGGAGCGAGTGAGGCACGTGCCAGGCTGTCAGCTGCTTTGATATGGCTGACGCTGTGACCTGGAGAGATAGAGGGGGAAGGGGAAGAGGGCGAGGAGGGAGAAGGTGACGGAAAAGGGAAAAAGGGTTTCATCACACGTTAGGGCGAGCATGGAGAGGAGGGAGTGCAGGTCGGCTCGCAGGCGCTGCAGAATGGCTTCTTCTAGCGTGGCGATGAGCAGCGAGTGCTGCACGTGCCAGGCTGTCAGCTGCTTTGATATGGCTGACGCTGTGACCTGGAGAGAGGAGGGGGGGAGGGGGGGAGGGGGGGGTGAAGAAAGGGGGGAATGAGCAACGAGGGAAGGGGAAAGAAGGAAGCGGGCTCAAGTTACATGGCAGGTAGGGTAAGCTTCTAGCGGCCAGGGAGTGCAGCAGCTGGGTGGCGGGGGCGGGCGGCAGAGCGCCAGCTGGCAGGTGCTGCAGCAGAATGGCTTCCTGTGGCGTGGCGATGAGGAGTGAGTGAGGCACGTTCCAGGAGTCTCAGATTCAGCAACTCATCCGTCACACTCCCCCAATAGCCACTAGTGTGCTCTGAACACACCTGCACCACTCTACATCCCTCTACACCATGCTACACACCGATCCTTATGCTCACCTGGATCGGCGAGATAACCAGCAGTCTCAGATTCAGCAACTCATCCGCCACACTCCCGATAGCCAATGGGATGCTGCCACCTGACAACGGCCCCCTCCTCCCCTCCCCCCTTCCCCCTTCCCCTCCGCCCGCCCCCCCTCCAGTAGAGGAAGACGTGGGGAGGCAGAACGGGATTGCTGACTCAGACACGACAAGGCTGCTGCTGCTGCACTGATTGGCCAGCGATGACGTGGACAGGGAGAGCGCTGACGCGTACGCGGGGTGGTGGGCGTTGATTGGCAGGCGCACGGTGAACGTGGTGCCCACGTGGAACTCACTCTCCACTGAGATGCTGCCTCCCATCAGCTCCACCAGCTGTGCAAGTGGTAAGAAGAGTGATGAGAAGCGAAATAGAAAGAGGGGGCGAGATTGGGTAGTGGAGGAGAGAGTGAGCTGGTGGGCAGGTGACCGTGGAGCCCACGTGGAGCTCGCTTTCCACTGTGAAGCTCCCTCCCATCAGCTCGACTAGCAGGAGACGAGGAGGGAGAGAGCGAGGAGAAAATGGGGAGAGTGGAGAGGGTAGAGGGTAGGGTCCGTCAGGATGACTGTTGACTGGGCTGTCAGTCTGGCGGGCGTCTCATGCGAGTCTGCCGCGCAGAAGACGACTTTTGAGGCGCCTCAGAGGATGACTGTTGACTGGACTGTCAGTCTGGCGGGCATCTCATGCGAGTCTGCCGCGCAGAAGCATGGCAGGAAACGCCTCTCTCCGCTCTGCTCCACTTTTGCTTCATTGCACCTTCCTCGTATTCACCATCCCTCAAAGGCGCCACCAGGAAACCCAATATATGTTTTTTAGCGGACTTTACCAGGACATGAATTGGACTTTACCAGGACATGAATTGGACTTTACCAGGACATGAATTGGACTTTACCAGGACATGAATTGGACTTTACCAGGACATGAATTGGACTCACTCACCCACGCACAGAGAATTGAACACGAGTTAACCTGGGACCCACCTGGGACCCACGCACCTGTTTTGAGATGGCAAGGCCCAGCCCGGTCCCTCCGAACTTGCGTGTCGTGGATGCATCCACCTGGTGGGTTTAGAGCGGGTAGAGTGCGAGAGTGAGGGAGGGCAGGGAGAGTGAGGGATGGGAAACATGGGATGGATGGAATGCCAGAAGGGAACGGAGGGAGGAAGGGAGAGAGAGAGAGAGAGGGGAGGACGCTACAGCAACATGAGAGACGGAACGCGGCGTGGAGGGGTTCATGCACTGTCAGTATGGTTGGGAAAATAGTCAGGAAGATGGGTTCATGCACTGCCACACTGCAACCAAGCATGAAGCAGCAGAGAAAGAGAACATTCCAGGCCAGTCTAAGCCCCTGACTGAACTCGTGCGTTGACTTGACCTCATCGATCAGGTTGGTCCCTGTGCCATTGGTGGTCCCCCCCATGCTCCATAATCCATTCTTGAGGCGCCTCAAAACGATTTTTGAGGCGCCAAAAAAGTTGCCATTGGTGGTCCTGCCCTCCCCATGCTCCATAATCCATTCAGCAGACTGTTGAGTCAACCCAGAGATGGACTTTTCAACAAAGACCAATCAGGGCACCGCTCCATTCCGCATTTTAAGGCGCCGCAAAAATCGACCAGCCCACAAAAGTCAAGCCTGCTGCTCTGTTCCGTTCCTTCCAGCGCTTACCTGAGAGAACTTAGTAAAAAGCCGGCCGAGTCGCTCCTTGGGAATACCGATGCCAGTGTCAATGACCTGGCACACCCAGAACTGCTGCGGTACCAATGGGCCGCTGTTGGGTGCAGAGGTGTTGGTGGTGGTGAGGGTGGTGGTTGTGGAAGAGGCGGAGGAGGAGGCGGGGAGAGCGGGGTGAGACGGGGAGGAGGGGAGGGCAGGGGCGGTGTAGGAGGAGAGGCGGAAGATGACGTGTCCACGTTCGGTGAACTTGATGGCGTTGGATACGAGGTTGATTAGCACCTGGTGGAGCCAGCGAGGGGCATGGGAGTAGGGGGATATGGCAGCAGTAGGGAGCAAAGGGAGCAGGGGGGATAATGTGTCCACGTGCCTTGTTCCATGCATGCAACCAACCAGACGCACCTGCAGAGTGCGCCTGGAATCCCCAATGAGGAAAATGGGCATATCCGGGCCGATCTCAATGACCACCTCAAGCCCCCCTCCTCTCCTCTCCCCTCTCTCTACTCTATCCTCTCCCCCCTTCCCTGACGCACCTGTAGAGTTCTCCCCGAGTCTCCAACCAGGAATGTGGGAGTGTCCGGGCCGATCTAAATGACCACCTCCAGCCCCTTGCTCTCCGCGCTGGTTTTCTGAGAATTCTTAAAAAATATCAGCAGCTCCGCCACGCACTCCACGGCCTGTAGCGCGTTGAAGAGCGTCTGCTCTGCTCTGCTGCATGCAACCACCCAGTCCCATCACCCTATGCCTGTCCTCTCTCCCCCCCGTACGCACCTGCAGTGTTCTTCCTGAATCCCCAACCAGGAACGTGGGAGTGTCCGGGCCGATCTCAATGACCACCTCCAGCCCCTTGCTCTCTGCGTTGTGGATCAGCAGCTCAGCAACTCTCTCAACGGCCTGCAGCGCGTTGAAGAGCGTCTGCTCGATTTCCAGCTTGCCGGACTCGATCTTGGAGTAGTCGAGGATGTCGTTGATGATCTGCAGCAGCATGTCGCCCGAGTCGCGGATCGTCACCACACGATCCCGTTGTTCGGGAGTCAAGTCGGTGTCGAGAAGGAGCGCCGTCATGCCGACGACGCCATTCATGGGGGTGCGTATCTCGTGTGACATGGTGGCCAGAAAATCTGCAAGTGGGAGGGAAAAAAGGAAGTTGACAGGGGCAGTGAATGGGGTGAAGAACTTGCTCAATCTTGGAGTAGTCGAGAATGTCGTTGATGATCTGCAGCAGCATGTTGCCCGAGTCGCGGATCGTGACTACTCGGTGGCGCTGTTGTGGTGTGAGGTGTGTGTGGAGGAGCAACGCTGTCATGCCCACCACGCCGTTCCTTGGACTCCTCATCTCGTGGGACATGGTGGCGAGGACATCTGCACGTCAGAGGGGAGGGGGAGGGACAAGGGGAGTGACAAGGGGAGTGAAGGGGAGTGACAAGGGGAGGGACAAGGGGAGTGACAAGGTGATTCGATCTTGGACTAGTCAAGAGAATGTCGTTGATGATCTGCAGCAGCATGTCTCCTGAACCCCGTATGGTAACCACCCGATCCCTCTGCTCTGGGGTCAGGTCTGTGTTCAGGAGCAACGCTGCCATCCCACCACGCCGTTCATAGGCGTCCTGATTTCATGGGACATGGTGGCGAGGAAATCTGCAACGGACGGGGGAAAAGAGGGAGCGGGCGGGGATAGTGAGTTGAAGAGCGTGTGATCTTGGAGTAGTCGAGGATGTCGTTGATGATCTGCAGCAGCATGTCGCCCGAATCTCTAATAGTCACCACACAGTCGCGCTGCTCTGGGGTTAAATCGGTGTCCAGGAGCAGTGCTGTCACGCCCGCCCACCACTTCCGTTCATGGGGGTGCGGATCTCGTGGCTCATGGGGGTGCGGATCTCGTGGCTCATGGGGGTGCGGATCTCGTGGCTCATGGGGGTGCGGATCTCGTGGCTCATGGGGGTGCGGATCTCGTGGCTCATGGGGGTGCGGATCTCGTGGCTCATGGGGGTGCGGATCTCGTGGCTCATGGGAGTGCGGATCTCGTGGCTCATGGTGGCGAGGAAGTCTGGAGGCCGGGGGTTTGCACAAGGGAAACGAGGGACATCAAGTTAGATGGCGAGATCTGGAGCTGTGTCTCTATCTACTTGGACCATTCAAACACCTTTCTCAACATGATGACAGGGTGCACATGTGCTTATGTGCATGTGTGTGTACTCGTGCGCGTGCGTATGGGCATGTGTGCGTATGTGCATGTGTGCATGTGCCATCACCGGCCAGATGCACACCTGCTTTAGCTTGTGAAGCCCGTTCAGCCTCGTCCTTAGCCTGCACCATGCCCTGCTCGAACATCTTCCTCTCCGTGATGTCTGTGTGCGTGCCCACAAACCGCAGCGGTTCCCCGTCCTCTGTCTTGCTCAGCACCTTGCCGCGATGCAGGAACCAACTGGGGGAGGTGGTGGGACGCAAGCGAGCGAGGCACTGGGTGGGCGACAGGCGCACTGGATGGGTGACAGGCGCACTGGATGGGTGACAGGCGCACTGGATGGGTGACAGGCGCACTGGATGGGTGACAGGCGCACTGGATGGGTGACAGACGCACTGGATGGGTGACAGACGCACTGGATGGGTGACAGACACTCTGGATAGGCGACAGACGCACTGGATGGGCGACAGACGCTCTGAGGGCCTGCAACGCGCCCAGCATCTATGATGCGTCAGCATTGGCTGCGTCTAGCTACTTGGCCTCCCTCCTTGCGTCTGAGCCGTTCACTCGCCTTCCATCTCACCTGTAGCTGCCGTCCTTGCATCTGAGCCGTTGCTCGTTCACAAACTGAGCAGTCACACCGTCCAGATGCTCCTTGAGATCAGCATAAGCCCTGTCCTTGTCCTCTGGGTGCAACAGACGATCCCACTCGTCCAACGTCGACCCTATGTCGCCAGGCTCGTAGCTGGGGTGGGGGAGAGGGAGGATGAATGGGAAGAGGGGAGAAGGGGGGTGTTACAGCAGATGCTCCTTGAGATCAGCATACGCCCTGTCCTTGTCCTCTGGGTGCAACAGGCGATCCCACTCGTCCAGTGTTGACCCTTGTCGCCAAGCTCGTAGCTGTGAGGAATGGGGGGGGGGGAAGACAAGGACTTGGGGTGACGAGGGTGTATAAGCCCTGTCCTTGTCCTCTGGAGCCAATTTGTCCAGGCTCGTAGCTGGGGGGTTGGGTGGGAGGGGAAGTGGGGAGAATGCGCAAGGAGAGGGAGGAGGCGAAGGCGGGAAAGGAGGAATGCGAAGTAATTCATATGATTCTTGAGGCTTGCATACGCGCAGTCCTTGTCCTCTGCGTGTGGAGAAGGGCAGCCAATTCGGTAATTAGAAGGTTCAACGGCAGCAAGGCACTCTAGGACAAACGCTAGGAGTGATAAGCAGGTTGTCAACCCAAACTCTTCTCCATGCTCTCAATTGAACGCCACCCTACCCTGTGCTGTGCTCATGAACAGTCCACTCACCCCAGCATTTGTTTCCATCAGTCGGAGAGGAACATGGTGTTGTCACGCACGTTCCAGTCAGCATGCTCTCTGGAACACCCCAAGCTACCGCGATCTACTCACCCCAGCATGTTATCAGCTACTGCCCTGCACTCACCCCAGCATGTTATCAGCTACTGCCCTGCACTCACCCCAGCATGTTATCAGCTACTGCCCTGCACTCACCCCAGCATGTTATCAGCTACTGCCCTGCACTCACCCCAGCATGTTATCAGCTACTGCCCTGCACTCACCCCAGCATGTTATCAGCTACTGCCCTGCACTCACCCCAGCATCTGTTTCCATCGGTCGGAGAGGAACATGGTGTTGTCGCGCACGTTCCAGTCCCAAGCTGTTGCCACACCCACGTGCTTGTTTCAACACCACAAGCCACTCTTACGTTCAGATTCAAACCCACTCCACTCACTCACCCCCGAACGTGCAGCACTCACCCCCGAACGTGCAGCACTCACCCCAGCATCTACTTCCATCGGTCTGAGAAGAACATGGTGTTGTGTTGTCTCGCAAGTTCCAGTCCCACGTTCATGCAACGTCAGCACGCTTGCTTCAACACCACAAGCTACCCTGTGTTCAAATCAAACCCACTGCACTCACCCGAGCATCTGTTTCCAGCGGTCGGAGAAGAACATGGTGTTGTCGCGCACATTCCAGTCCCACACACCGTCGTCGCTGCCTGACAGGGCGTACAGCCATCGCTCCTCGCTCTCCTGCTCACACATGCGATGTGTGTGTGGGGTGGTACAGGGCAGAAGCGGTAAGGGCTTGTAGATCAAGGACATCCAGTCCCACACGCCATCGTCACTGCCTGACAGCGCGTACAGCCATCGCTCCTCGCTCTCCTGCTCGCGCATGCGATGTGTGTGTCAGAGGGGGGCAAGGAGGGGTGTTTGTGTGGTAAAAAGGGATAAGTGGTGAGAGAGGTTGCTGATCGAGAAGATCCGGTCTCTTGAGAATTCTCAAAAAACATACACTGCACCATCACTGCCACCACTGCCCACGGCGAAGTGGGTGCGAATTGCAACGGTCTGCTCCAACCCCACCCAATATACACTCAACCCAACCCAACCCATCAAACCAACCTTGAAGACGGTATCATACGTGCCCTTGGAGGCTTGGAGACTGGCTTGATATTCAAGCAAGGGCTCCAACGCTCCCACGCTCCCACAACAACTCGGTGGACCCACCTTGAGCTTCTTCTCAGCGTCCAGCCGTTCTGAAATATCCCTCAGCACGGCCACATAGAACACCGTGTCATACATTCCCTTGACGCAGACACCTCTAGTGGGAGCGTGCTGCCGTCCACTCGCCCACACGCCTGCAGTTGTCTCTCTCGTAGCATTAGCCATGCTCTCATGCCGCTCACTTTGAGCTTCTTCTCAGCGTCCAGCCGTTCTGAAATATCCCTCAGCACGGCCACATAGAAGACGGTGTGAAGAGTTTTTGGTGACCGACACCTCCAGAGGTGCCCAATCCAAACCACACCCAACCTAAGGAAGGGACCCACCTTGAGCTTCTTCTCGGCGTCCAGCCTCTCAGAGATGTCTCGCAGCACGGCCACATAGAAGACCGTGTCGTACGTGCCCTTGGAGACCGACACCTCCAGAGGGAACGTGCTGCCATCCACCCGCCTGCCGATGCCCTTGTGCACCTTGCCACTCGCCGCGTCCAGGCCTGTGTGCAACCGAAGCAAGGTATTGAAAGCAGGATGTATGATGAGGCTTTTGAGTCGCATCAGAACAGGATTCGTGGCAGAAGAAGGTGCGAGAGAGCGAGCACAAAGTCACAGTGCGCTTCCTTCCACTTCAAGTGCGAATGTGTGTGAGTGAGTGTGCGTGTGCAAAGCAGAGGAGCGCTGTGACTTCATGCTCCTCCACTTCTTCCCCTTCCCCTCTCCCCTCTTCCCCTTCCCCTCTCCCCTCTTCCCCTTCCCCCATTCCACATTCCCCCTCTCCCCCACCTCACACATCGTGCCAAAAAGTCTCTCTGGCCGTTGATCTCCACCATGCAATCCTGGAACTGCAGAGCAGCTAGGCTAGTAGCATAGCATAGCATGTATCCACCCTATCCATCTATGTGAATTTTACTTTTGAGAATTCCCAAAAGTAAAATTCACATGGCTAGTAGCATAGCATAGCATGTATCCACCCTACCCATCCGCCATCTCACCTCGTGCCAAAAAGTCTCGCTGGCCGTTGATTTCCACCATCAGATCCTGGAACTGCAGATTGGGCGGCGGCGTGACGTTGCTGCTGTCACGGCTGATGATGCTGCCCCCCGCCGCCACAGCAGCAGCAGCAGTGCCGTTGGTGCTGCTGCTGCCGTTGGTGTCGGAGGGGGTGGGCGAGTAGCCAAACATCTGCCGTGCTGAGAGGTTCATGGATGTGACGTGGCCGCTGTGAGAGAGCGACATGATGCCCTCCTTGGCCACCTGAGGTGGCGGGGAGTGTGGGATTGGGAGGCAGAGACAGAGAGAGGTTCATGGATGTGACATGGCCACTGTGAGAGAGCGACATGATTCCCTCCTTTGCCACCTGGCGGGGGGTCATGAGGATAAGGTGAGTGGGGGATTGGGGGGTTGGGCAATAGAGAGTGAGAGGCAGGAACAGCAGCAGCAGCAGCTCCGTTGGTGCTTGTGCTGTGCCGTGCTGTGCCGTGCTGTGCTGTGCCGTGCTGTGCTGTGCCGTGCTGTGCCGTGCTGTGCTGTGCCGTGCCGTGCTGTGTTGTGCCGTGCTGTGCTGTGCTGTGCCGTGCCATGCTGTGCTGTGCTGTGCCGCGTGCCGTGCTGCGCCGCGCTGCGCCGTGCTGTGCTGTGCCGTGCTGCGCTGTACTGTACTGTGATCTGATGCGCACACTCGCTCAATCTCTCTCTCCCCCATTCCTCACCTGCACAACGCTGGACAGGTGCAGCTCAGCCTCCTTTCTCCTCTTCCGCTCATTCACCGCGTAGATCATCTGAGCAATTGTCATCGTCAGCGGCTCAATCTCCTTCACCAGCTGCTCGTCGTACCCCTGCAGGCGATTGGCCACCCCGAATATCCCTATCAGCTCCGTGCCTGCACAGGGGAGAGCGAGGGGGAGGGGCGTAGTACGTGGGGTATATGGGGGAGAAGAGGGGAAAAAAGAAGAGGCTTCAATCTCGTTCACCAGCTGCTCGTCGTACCCTTGGAGTCGATTCACCATTCCGAAGATCCCAATCAGCTCCGTGCCTGCACAGGGAAAGGGTGAACGGAGAACAATGGGAGGTTGAATCAATGTCCTTCACCGGCTACTTGTCGTACCCTTGCAGTCGGCACTCCTCGCGTGCAGGTCACTACGAGCGTCGTTGGAGAGAGTGCCTGCTGCCCCGCCCCGCCAGCACCACAGCACCATGCAGTGTGTACATTTTGGTGAACAACACGAGTAAAGGCCAGTCAAGGCATCTCTACCCCCTGTTCCCTGTCCCTTTCTCACCTCCCTCCCACACTCAACCACACCCACTCAATGACCCACCAGTATAAAGCGAATGCCCATGAATTTCTCGATCACAGGGTGGCCAGGCGGCACTGCTCTGGCGCGGGGGTCATTGCGAGCTCATTGGAGACCACCTGCTGCCCCGTCAGCACCCCTTCTCCTGATAACCTTGCTTCCTGATAGCCACCTCTCTCCTCTTTCCCTTCACACACCTATCCTTCACCCCCCCTTCATCCTCACTTCCCCCCCACCTTCCACACACATACCTACCCTCTCTCACCCACCTGTGTACAGCGGGATACCCATGAGCTTCTCAATCACAGGGTGGCCAGGCGGCACTCCCCTCGCACGCGGGTCATTCCGGGCGTCGTTGGAGAGCACCTGCTGGCCCGTCCGTCAGCACCCCTTCCTGCCAGCCACCCCTCTCCCCCTTCCTCTCACCCACCTGTATACAGCGGGATGCCCATGAACTTCTCAGTGAAATCCCAGGGTGGCCGGGCGGCACTCCTCTCGCCCGCGGGTCGTTGCGGGCGTCGTTGGAGAGAACCTGCTGGCCCGTCAGCACAACAGCGCCGTGCAGCGTGTTCATGCTGGTGAATACGAGGCCCTTGTGAACCCAACTCTACTACCTTCCCCCCTGTCCCCCTGTCTCCTCCCTCCCACACCCCACCGCACCCAACCACACCCTATGTAAAACCCACCTGTATAGAGCGGGATGCCCATGAACTTCTCGATCACAGGGTGGCCGGGCGGCACTCCTCTCGCCCGCGGGTCGTTGCGGGCATCGTTGGAGAGAACCTGCTGCCCCGTGAGCACGACAGCTCCGTGCAGCGTGTTCATGTTGGTGAACACGAGGCCCTTGTGCGCGTTCGCCGCGTACCATGCCCGCAGCTCCTTGGTCCATGCCACGTTCGTCATTGCATGCGTCTGCACAAGGGGTGGGGTGAGCCGGGGGAAGGCAGGGGGAATTGTTGAAGGGACGGAGCAAGGAAGGGAGAATGGAGGGAGCGAGCGTGCAAGAGTGAGTCCCTGACAGCACTGCAGCGCCGTGCGGGCACGTAACACAGACTCTCTCTCAGCGCCGTGCGGGCACGTAACACAGACTCTCTCTCAGCGCCGTGCGGGCACGTAACACTGGCCCCAGATACGCAGACTCTCTCGGGCGAGCGGCCATATCATCCCGGTCCCAGCCCAGCACAGTGGGTGCTTGAGGAACAGCGGGTGTTAAACGGCATTTCAGGCCGGCCCAGCACAGTGGGTGCTTGAGGAACAGCGGGTGTTAAACGGCATTTCAGGCCGGCCCAGCACAGTGGGTGCTTGAGGAACAGCGGGTGTTAAACAGCATTTCAGGCCGGCCCAGCACAGTGGGTGCTTGAGGAGCAGCGGGTGTTAAACGGCATTTCAGGCCGGCCCAGCACAGTGGGTGCTTGAGGAGCAGCGGGTGTTAAACGGCATTTCAGGCCGGCCCAGCACAGTGGGTGCTTGAGGAACAGCGGGTGTTAAACGGCATTTCAGGCCGGCCCAGCACAGTGGGTGCTTGAGGAACAGCGGGTGTTAAACGGCATTTCAGGCCGGCCCAGCACAGTGGGTGCTTGAGGAACAGCGGGTGTTAAACGGCATTTCAGTCCGGCCCAGCACACAGCCCGGGCCTCGAAGCTCGGCAGGTATTAGGCAAACACACCCCACGCCCCACACACACTCCACACAGGCCGAGTCCATCCCAGCGCCCATCACCGCACAGCACCTTGAGGTAGGGCGTGCCATCGGCCTTGAGCAGAGCGGAGGAGATGAAGCCAAAGCTGGACTCGGTCACCTCCAGGAGCGCAGACAGCAGGTAGTCAAACACCAGACTGCCGTTGGGCTCCTGCGGGGGAGAAGTGGGGAGGAGATGGGAGAGGGGGGAAGGGCAGGGGAATAGATAGAGGGGAAGGTATGAGAGAGAGCGAAGGGGGATGAGTCTCCGAGCTGGAGTTGGCGACCTCCAGCAGTGCGGAGAGCAGGTAGTCAAACACGAGACTGCCGTTGGGCTCCTGCGGGATGGGCGGGGCGGGGTATGGATGGTAGAGGAGGGGACGGAAGTTGTCGGATGGGGGAAAAACGAGGGGAGGCGAGGGGAGGCGAGGGGAGCAGAGGGGCAGTTAGGGAAGGGGCAAGTGTGGTGAAGGGGCAAGGGTGGTGAAGGGAAACGAGTGAAACTGCCAGCAAGGACCCCATTCGCACAGGACAATGGCCAGGATGGCTCGCAGCAGAGAGATCATGCCAAGGACCATGCCAGCAACCGCCTTTTGCCATGATGCATGCAGCAGCACGCTCAGCACCGCCCGTGTGAACAGAGCACGGGCTTCACCGGCCTCCGCACCCACCGTATAAATGAAACACGCTTGGCGCGCCCCGCCTACCCACCTACCCACCTTGTCAACAAAGCACAGCAGCTTCCCCTCAAGTGCCTCTACACGCCTTTCACCGGCCTTTGCCGCCCTCCACCACGCTGCTCACCTTATCAATAAAGTACACTTGATGTGCGTGAATGATAGCAGTGAACAACTTCCTCTACACGCCCTTCACCGCCTTTCACCGCCTTTCACCGCTCGTCACTGCCCTTCACCTCCCTTTACCACTCACCTTATCAATCAAGTACACTTGGTGGGCGCGAGTGATAGCAGACAGCAGCTTCCCCTCAAGTGGCTCTAACACCCTTCACCACCTTTTGCCCCTCACCTTATCAACGTGCCTCACTGCCCACCACACGCACCTTATCAATGAAGTACACTTGGTGTGCCCGAGTGATAGCAGCAAGCAGCTTCCGCTGCAGTGCCTCAGACATGCTCATCGTCCGCATCAACGGCCGCTGCGGTCCCCCCACCATCCCCCCTGCCCCTCCCCCCATCCCCGCCGCTCCGCCCATTCCCCCCGCCACTCCCCCCGCGCCTCCCCCTTCCACGCCCATCCCCCCTCCCCCTCCTCTCCGCATCTCCCAAGAGGAACTCTCGTGGAAGCTTCTGCTGACAGGCCCCTCGCCGCTCATGAGGTGGTGGGGTTGGGCAAGGTGTCTGGGGCAAGCGTCCGGAGCACCCATTCCCCCTGCTCCGCCCATTCCGCCGCCCATTCCGCCGCCTCCGCCACCCATACCGTCTCTCCCCATGCCCCTCACACTGTAATCCGGCCCATAATGCGATGACTGGCTCATTCTCCCCATGCCCGCCCCTTCCCCCCCTCCCACTCCCCCTCCCATTCCCCCGCCCATTCCCCCGCTCATCGCCCCGTGCTGACGCCCAGGCGAGCCCATATAAGACAACGACCTGCCGCCCGTTCCGGTGCGGAGCATCGGGTGGCTGGGCGACCCACCTCGGGAACTCCGTCCCCCGGAATGGTCAGATAAAAATTCCATCTGCGCGTCAGGAGACGGTTTCGAATATTCCACAACACCATAGGGGGGATGCCCCGACCCCTGACCCCCACCTTGCTGCTGCTGCTGCCACCTGGCAGCTCCGGATTGGGTGGAACTGGGGGAGCCGGGCGCGGAGGAGGTGTGGGAGAGGGTGTGCGCGGGGAGGTGCGGGTGCTGGTGCGGGGGGACGATTCCGCAGCGGTGCAGCAGCGCCAGCGTCTTGGGGTGGTCCGCGCCGTCGTCGCGCAGGTGCCCGCACTTGCGGCACCTGGGGGGATGGGGGAACGGGGAATGGGGAATGGAGGATGGGGAAATGGCGGGTTACAGCATGCCTGTTCGAATCGCACCAACACATTATTTTCCTGTTATATTCTGACGCGCCATTGCACTTACGCAATCCGTTTCCGTCCAATAACATTGGTTTGCGGTCCACCTTCCTCTGTTTCCTCTTGACCAGCGGCCACTCACAGAGCTGTTAAGACGCGCGGCGAAACGCTCACCTTCTGCGACGCGAACCAGAATCAGTTCACGCTTGTCAATGCGTGCAGGCTTGACCTAAATTGAGGCCGTGACCTCTATCGAGGCCCACAATCGCCCGCGAGCGATGCCTGCCTTGCCGTTAACGTGGTGCACACCAACGCACAACTAGCCCAAACGCCATCCCACACGTTTCAACGCCTCCAAGGTTCCTTCCTTCTCCGCGTTTCCGACCTAGACCTAAAAGCTTAAGGCCCGCAGTCGTTCTCAGTCGCCCACAAACGCGATTATACGTTGTCAAAACGCGCGATGTGAGATCGTCAAGCGAAACTTCGCAGCACCACGCTACCTGCCACTGGTGCGAGGAGCGCACCAAGCCATGACTATCGCAATCGCCAATCGAAGCAGGACCCTTTCCTTCTCGACGTAACCGCCTTAATGGCCTCTACACCTCGCTCCAACTCCTCGCATGCCACCCTCGGCTTGCAAACACTTTTTCTCTTGACCCCTCCCCGGCCGTAGTAATTTTGTGTAAACAATAAAGTATATTTATCTAATCGCAACGTTTATCCGCTCACCTCCAACCCGCTTCGATCCACGCCTTAAGCGCGATCCAATCGCTCTCCGTCAGATGCGCCACGATCTCCCACGGCGGCACCTCCAAAGCTGACACCTTGGTTCGGCGTCGCGACTCCGAACCTACGGAAAAGTCCCGCGGAGGTACACAAGGCGCACCTCCGGCGCTTCCCCCTCCGCCGCTGCCCGCGCCAGTCCCTCCCAAAGGGCTTCCGCCTTGTGATTGCTGCGCGAGCGGAGATTGCGCTTGCGCTTGCCCCTGCGCCTTCACCTGCGGCGATTGCGCAAGACGCTGCTGGTGCTCCGCGCGCTGCTGCTGCAGAGCCTGGTTTTGCGCGACGGCGTGCGAGATGTCGGTTCCCGCCGACTGCAGCTCGTGCGGAGTCATTCCGCTCATTCCGCTCGAGCGGCGGCGGAGCTTGACGCCTCCGCGGCCATGATGCGCGGACTGCTGCGCGCCCATCGTGGCGGAAGGGTGCGCCTCTTTCACGGACTACTGACAATCTTCGACAATGGAAATCGTTAAAGTCAATAACAAGAGCAGAACTAAAAGCTTAACCCTGAGGCGCCTGATATGAACTGGAATAGATGGTGGAACTTAGGCTGGATCGTAGGATGATCACGAGACTTATCGTTCACTCAAATGTCACCAGGATCGCACACGATAAGAGCTTGCCGACACTGTCGCGAATCATCGAAGGGTTCCATAGTAAATGTTCCCGGAGGATTAATAAGTGTTCTACACCGAAAATCGTCTGTTTCTGAGACGCCTCAAAAACCTAATTGAACTAGTACAGTCAGTACGCGACGCACATCGACTCGAACGTGGTGGCGAGGTTAATCCATCTCTACCGCAGCTTACTCTGTTGTCCCTGACACACGTCCTAGCTTTCCTAACTCCGACTCGAGCATCAAAACAAGGTAACGACCGCCGTAACTGGCTCTACGAAGCCTGCTATTGAAGCAATGTGGCGTATTAGAATGGTCGCAGAAGCGTCACGATGCAGAAGATACATACAGTGGTTCCCGTGCGTGGTTCTTCGCTCGCATAGTAGCAACAGGAATGAAGTTGTTGAGAGAGCGTATGGTATGCATCAGGCAGGTGCAGTTTTGCCATCACTAAGGGCGCGTGGGTCTGTTTAGAAGTTCAAAATAAAGTTCGAACTTTAGGTGGTTACCCTATTCGCTAACTTCGCGAAGGGTGCTTCGCGAACCAAGCATTGTATGGGCTCTGCAAAAGTTCGAGTTTGAAATATGAACTTGACTCGAGTCGGAGGCGGGAACGTGCGTGCGCACGTTCGTGCGAGCGCGTGTGATTTGCAGCACGTCCGAACAGCTGGCGAAACGGGAGAGCGCTTCGCCAGTGCATGAAGTTGCACAACGAAGACACCCCACAATTCGTGCACATAGTGGTAGCCACGTGTCCAGCATCGTGGCACGTTCGAGCACGATGTGGCAACGTGTCCCCCTGCCATACGATGCCGAGAAAGCGGACCAGCTGTAGGGTTGTCATGTTGGGCGAATGACGAGTATTCAAGGTGTTGCCACGGGGGCTATTTGTACCCTGGTTACACACTCGACGCGGAAGGTGAGTTGGATCTCTAGGTCCTTGTAAACAGAGGCGCAAAATGTTGACGTGACGCACTGTCAAGACGAGCAAACCGGGTAACCTATGATGTTGACGTGCGGCTCGGCTCGTTTTTACAAGTTCGAATGTCGGGGTTCGACCTTGTATGTGTGTGTGCTTTTTTACTGTGTGGTAAGCCCGATGTTCGAACTTCGATAAAAGGAAATTCGAACTTCTTTCGTTGTAAGCTCAAAACTTAAAATCGCCCTAAAAACATAAACTTTTACAAATTTCAAAGACCACACGCGCCCTAATCACTGACCAAACGCTCATCACAGGTCGAGTCCCCAGCCTCAGTTTGATGAGAGTGTAACAATGTGGTTTAGCGCATTTCGAAACGGTGCTGTATGTTAATGTCTCACTCCGCCGCTCTCTGAGTCCCGATTTCCGAACCAGGTACTTTAGGAATAACGATTTGGGAAGCAAGAGAGGAGAAACTATTCGTTCGTTTTTCAAGGGGTACCCATTCCCAGCACCTCTTGACGACCAGAGTCAGGGCAATTTAGTTTCAAGTGTACTGAAGCATTGGGAACCGTAACCCGAACTTTAGGACCGAGTCCAAGTCGGGTTTGATTGCCTCGATCAGCCAAGATCAATAATTTCCAGGAGGCCTGGAAGCCAAATTCAAGCAATCGGGGGCAATCAGCTGATCACGATCAGCTGATCGCCCCAACTCGATTAGACCCAGCTTTCACCCCGAGCACAGCCGATTTTCCTCGATCACAGACGATCAACTGATCGTACATGATCGGGGACCACAGCGATGCTTGCGAATAGTTACATTGTATTACTAGGTCTCGTCAAACCCTCACTGAGCGGAGCGGGGTTTACGATATTACGCCAGGTGGCGTCTGGTCGCCAGTCTTAGGCCGACAATGCCAGGTAATTGGGCCTACGAAAATGTTCTACGAAAACATCCTCTGATCGGGCGGCTCGGGAAATGCGATCACGAGCAACCCGATCAGATCCAATCCGATCAGAGCAGTCGCGATCAAACACGATTGGGCCCACGTCCTTATTTCTGTACAAGGGTACTTCGTCAGTCTGCACAATTCCGGGATGCCAGAAACAGAACAACATTTTCTCAGAAACACAAGAGCCGAACCCACCATATTTTACCGAAACCCGAACGAGTCCCCTTTTCACTGTAGCCAAGTTCGTGGAACTCTGCGGAAAAGCTGTGCTGGCATGAACCTGCTGTTTCATTGGTTAACGACTTGTGGGAAATGCTAAACTATGTTGAGGTGGAGATGGAGGTGCGAGGTGACGAGGACCGAACAGCCCAATCCCATGACTCCAGGAAAAGGACATGAAGATCTCACGGAGCACATGGTGGTAAGATGGTCGTATTCTTGGGCAGGAAAAGTTCGCATGTGATGAGAGACAATGGAGCTGCTCAGTGTAGAGCTGACTCTGGTTTTTGTACAGCAGAAACAAATTTCTCTAAAATTCGCAACCAAACTGTTCAAAGAGGCTTGAAGCAAGTTGATGTCGTGCAGCTCTGGTGCCCCAATGACGTCAAACAAAGGTCCATGAGCTGTCAACAGTGGATTCTGTTGCCCGTCCAGCAGATTCTCAGGGCCCACCCAACCACGCTCTAGAAGGTACGAGGTGTGCAGTACTACAGTGCTTTCTTACTAAGGTTCCAGAAACAACTCAGCTGAAAAATGATTCTAAAAAACGCTCATAACTTTGGAAGCCTTGTGTCCTTGGTACTAGGTAAAGGCACATTGATAGGGGTGAAATCATATCTCCAATCTCCATCCCCATAAACTTCCTGTAACAGCTGGGCAAGCTCTGCATCGTGCTCAATTAATCGTTCACGATTATTTACTCCACCATTTACATCTACACGCACGCTGGCATTGAACCACGACTGGCTACCCTCTGCCCAATACTCTTCTTTGTTTGCCACCATGTATGCAGTCGATGGATAGAGGTGCTGATTGGGAGGGAGAGCAGGAAAGGAGGCCATTAGGGACAAAAGAAGAGTATAAAATGGATGAACAAGCTGGAAAAACTGGACGGTAACTACCGGCACATGCATGGGAATGGGAACAGCAGGGTGGAAAACAACTGCTTAGAGTGGATGGAGACAAGTATCTGACAAATGACCAGCACGACATGGATTCAGCTGCTGCATGAACAGGGTGGGGCTGGGTTTGGATGTGCAAAACTACCTTGGACCGCTGGAAGCACTGGGAGATTCGGTGCATCAGGGACTCATCGAACCCCACCTGTCATACGGAAGAAGAGATCACGCATGCATGCATACATAGATACATACATCCACACATGCCATGTCAACAAAAGACACTAAGGGTGAGTCATGCATGGAAAACACGAGCAGCACCATGAGTACATATGGAGGCCAGATGCCAATGCACCCATGCATGTGAGCATGCATACTTGCCAATACCAGTGCTTCACAAATCCGTCAAACGCTCTGAGGGTGCATGCACTTTATCCATGCACAAAAGCAATCGGAAATTACTGCGAGAGTGGTGCAAGGGAAAAGTGCTGCCACTGTCTGAGTGGCACGAAGCCAACCTTGATCATCATGGGTGTTCACGTGTGACAAAACAGGCATGCGTGCATGCATGACATCACACCTCCATGACCATGTGTGCAAACTCATGCATGCATGGTCGCATGGAAACGCATGCATGCATGGCAGCATACCTCCATCACAGTGTGTGCAAACTCATGCACCAGAATGCTCTCCTCCCTGTACCGATCCTTTGGGCAGCGCAGGAGGTTTTCTTCGCCGACCGAGCACGTGGGGATGACCAGGGTGCCCCCCAATCCCCGCACCTGTGCATGGAGGCATGTTCAGAGGCACAGATGCACGCACGCGCGTGCGCGCACACACACACACACACACAAGCATGCAGACATTTGCACATGCATGAATGATCTGCATTGGAAGAAGTCAGAGCAGAGTGTGTCTTTGAGAGGTTCTACGAAGGCATGGCCATGCCTTACGGCCATGCCTTATGGCCATGCTTTATGGCCATGCCTTATGGCCATGCCTTATGACCATGCCTTAGGGCGCGTCCCCTTCCTCGATCGATCCTGCCCTCGATCGATCGAGGGACACCTACAGTGTCACAATTGACAGAGTAACCCGATTTCGAGATGGCTTGCGAATGTACAGTAACTGGTGCCCAACGATCTTGTCACCTCCGCTGATGACGATCGATGTGCCTTTGTGGCCACACCGATCTCGGCTTTTGTAGGATCGAGAGTTCTTCCCCCTTGTATTTTCGATCCTGTCACCCAGGGCTCGGGATCGATCCGCGACTGTTACCTCCTACCAATCCCGCCCCAATCCTGCAATTGGTGTGCCCGATCGGTTTTTCACGGCGATCTCGTGATCGATCGAGGGAGGGGACGCGCCCTTATGGCCATGCCTTATAGCCATGCCTTATGGCCATACCTTAATGGCCATGCCTTATGGCCATGCCTTATAGCCATGCCTTATAGCCATGCCTTATGGCCATGTTTTATGGCCATGTCCCACAGATGTGGACTCATAATCCATCCAAGGTGCCTCATGAGTCGACTCGTGTTTTGAGTCGACTCAAACACGAGTCAACTCAAAACACGCTTCTTCATGCATCCGAGCACTCATAATCGATCCAAGGTAACATTTGAGTCGACTAAAAACTCCCCTCATGATCCATCCAAGCAAGCACTTTAGAATGCCATCAACACTCTCAAGCCATTTGGCAGCATCTGTCAAATAAGGTGTGTAACAACAACTACGAGAATAAAACAACCTAGCTGACAGCCGGAATCCCTCTCAGCAGCCTGTTCCTCTCAGCTGCACAGCA